GAGAGAGAGAGAGAGAGAGAGAGAGAGAAACTTACGGTTGAGTTTCCTATCACTTGAGAACCGATTCCGATGTGAATGTGTTGCCAAACACTGGCAACGAGTCAATTGGCGCCGGTATGTGAAGGGATTAACAAATATTTTATATACTCTTATTAGAGTATATTAATGATTAATCCAGATTCAAATACAAAATTAAGATTGTAAAATAATGCAATTATATTATTATAGGGTTTCAACTTATTCTTCAATATAAATTCAAACAATAATTTGAGTAAAATATACGGAATTATAATTTAAATTCAATAAAAATTTGTTTGTGTATTGCCAAATTAATCGATATGTTAAATAAATAACTCTTAAATAGAATGCTTTAAATCATTTTATTTAATTTATAGAATTTAATATCCATTTATCCTTGATCAATACTTAATTGCAAATGTATAATTTTTAAAACTTATCATCACCGTAATTAACATTTGACAAGATATGCCGATTTATGAATGGAGTCCCTTATTAACGGCCGTTAGTAACGGGTGTCTCATAGGGGACGCCAATGCGTTGAAGTCGTCGTTATTGACGGCCATAACGGCCACACCGGCGAACCCATTACGGGCCACCCATTTAGCCTTCGTTTCACAAGTAGCCGGTGTTTCGTATGACACCCATTGGTCACCTTTTGTGGCGTACTGCCAACTATTATTACCGTATGTTGTAATCACCCACCCTGACGAATCATTTTTAAATGCCACTGCCATCTAAAATTGTATTTTAAAAATTAATGACAATTAAAATACAGTCAACATTTATTAACATTTATAAGGATCTATAATATAATATTAATTCAAATACCTCGTTGTATCCAAGTTTACCAGGTTCTGAGAGGAATGGGCCAGCAATACCACGTCCTTTTGTAGGGTCATTTACACCATTTTGCTTTTCATTCACTAATGTCCATGAGAGTCCAAAGAATGGCAAAGTCATCTAGATCAGTATATTAAATAAAATTTTTCATACGAAATCAGATATGTATTTAATGAAGCATGTATAATAACTATTTAATACTAATGACATAACATACGACTAATTTATCCTTGGGTGCTCCAACATTGACCCATTCAGACATTGTTTTTGACTATAGAATTAAAATTTATTTAATAAATTAATAAATATTTTAATTTTATCAATTTTCAAAGGAAAAATACGTACTTGATCAATTAATGATGATGCGTGTCCAGTTTGATTATCCCAAGAACTGTGATAATCGTAAGTATTAACGATAACAAAGTCAACATGGCTATTATAAAAATTATATGATTTAATTATTTTGCATTCTGTTTAACACACATAAGATATCTGAGTAGTATATATCAATAATTAATTATTCTTATATGACAAGGTATATACTGTAGATAAATTTAGGTATTTATAAATAGATTTATATATGAATATCCAATAAACCG